AGGCACTTCACTGCAGGTGGGAGAAGATGAGAGAGAGAGACGCAACACAGGATGCATGTTGATAGACTTGAGAAAACTCTGGTCCGTCAGAGATTGGCATACTCAGCCACGTTTACCAGCACTTGATTTCACGTTATTATACCCAATCTGATGAGAGCCCTGGGGGAGGTATGAAAACCGCCATTTTACAGAAAAGGGCCGGCTCCGAGCTAGACAGCGCACACCCGCGGGACCACCCAGCCTGGGCTCTGCAGCCTCCCAGCCCACAGCCACCCAACAGCCGCAGTTCTCCACCCATGAACCTGTGCCTCTGAGACCGCGAAACCCTCACTCTCCCGCCCCGGCTCCGGCTCCGGGCCAGCCCCACTCTGCTCCGCCCTCGGCCTGGCCTTCCTCCAGCGGCTTTGTGGTCACCTCCCTGCACCCGCCCTGCTCGCCAGCCCAGTGAATGAAACAGGTCATGCCTCACTTGTATACTGATGACGTTAAAGTGACATTTGACGCTAAATAAAATATGAAAGTTGCTTCACTGTTCACGTTTTATATGACGGCTGAGACAAGCTTGACTGCACACGTGGCTCCCGCTGCGCTGTTACTGGACAGCACGAGGGGGACACGCAGATCCCAGCAGGGCCGGCAGCCCTTCCCGGCGGCCATGGGCAAGTGATGGCCGAGCTGCCAACATCCTGAGAGCCGGAGCGCCGAGCAGGCAGGAGGGAGAGCACGGCCCGGCCGCCGGGAGGGCGCAGGCGGCATAACGAAGGCGGCTGGCCCGGGCAGGAGGCTGGGCGGCACCGGCTCCCCCTCTGGCCCCCACAAGAAGCCTCTCCACGGTGCACTGCGGAGACACCTCCTCCCGCGCGACTGTCCTGTGGCCGTGGCCCTGGACGGGGTCCAGGGAGAGCCGAGGTCATCCCTGGAAGGACGAGAACCACCCCCGCGCACTTCTCGGCCCCGAGGTGTCTCTCCTTTGGGAGGACAGCAGAGCCCTGGCCACGCGAGGTGCAGCGGCCGCGCCTGTGTGCGTGTGAGTGTGAGTCCTCACTGCTCTCCCCGTCCTTCCTCCTCAGCCCAGCGGCATGGCCGCGGCCACCCCGGTGACCAGCCTGGAAGAGGAGGTCAGCTGCCCCATCTGCCAGGGCGCCCTCAGGGAGCCGGTCACCATAGACTGCGGCCACAACTTCTGCCGCGGCTGCCTCACGCGGTACTG